GATTTGCTACGGTGCTAATGCTGCAGCTCCACACAGACAGATCAACAAGCTACCCGCCACAGGAATTGACCTGCCAGCCATCACACGCCGCAGGCAGCCTGTGGCAAGTGGTGTTTTTCCTTCACGGCAGGGTTTGGGGTTGCCACCAGTGCTGGCTCCCAGGCCCCTGGGCATGGGGGAGAGCATTTATCTAGCCCACGAGCTGCGGCCCCAGCTATGCACACAAGCAGCAGCCAACAGGCCCTTTCAAACCCATGTATTCAGTGAGGTTTGTTCTGGTTTGCTGCACAACATCAAGTAGCTCAAGACTTGCATCCGTATTTTCAGAAGGGCTCGTGCGTTTTGGGGACCTAGGTGGTGGCAGACCCCGCTTTGCAAGGCGCTGAGCTCAGCTTCCTGCTGGCACCACACGCTCTTGCAAAAATCAGACGTGGAGATTTGAAGAGAGGCTTCCCGAGGTAGACACTAACAAAAGCTTCCACCGAGGCAGATTTAAGGACGGCAGGAACAAGAAGAACCATCCAGCCAAAGCCACGCTAAGTATTTCATCTGGTGCCAGTCACAACCTGTCTCACGACAATGTTCGCACAGAGCACTTTCATTTTTCAGCCAGGCATCTCCATGTCACAGAAAGACGCATAAAAAGCTGCCAGAGCACAGCACTAAGGTGATTCTTCAGACAGGACCATGGGTTTGGATGCTTTGCCCTTCAAATCCTTCCATGGTGGAGGAGAAGGATGACACACCAAAGGAAAAAGGGAGCACCGTGCCACTCGTGGGCTTCACTGAATCACAACTCCACCTACAGCTTTCTCGGCAGCTTTCGACATTAAAAATAAAAACAAAACAAAGCACGCGTTTTTTAAAGTTTTAATGCATTTAACTTCGTGATGAAAAAATCACTCCAGACTCAGGCAGCAGCTCAGCACAACCCTCGCTTCAGAACTCGAGATTTTTCTTCATACAAACAAACCGGAAAAGGGCCACTGAACTATAGCTTTTTTGTCTGCAATTAGAGGCGACAATCAATACTAACATTAGATTAAGTTTGAACTTTACTGAACCTAGAAGGAAATCTTCTATAAAAAAAAAAAAATTAAAGAGTCACCAACTCAATACACACTCAATTAGTCAAAATCATAAGCTCGGTAAGAAGAAAAACGGATCGCCAAGTGGCTGACAGCTTCCCAACCGCGGCGCTTCGGCAGGGACCTGAGGACCATGGCCAGTGGGTGCAGAGGCTCGTGCCACGAGGCCCCTGCACTGGGGCAGGAGGTGGGGGGACCCTAATCCATGCCCCCCCCTCGCTCCGAGCAGGGAGCAGCGGGTGGGTGGGTGCTCACCCAGGTGCCCACCCAGCGCCCGAGCCAGTGCCTGGGCACTCCCCAGAGCTCGGCGGAGAGGCTGCTTCACACTCTGCTGTCTGTTTTCCTCTGCGCACACATTTCCCATACTAATGAAGAAGGGAGCAACACTCAGAAGGCTCCGAGACTACAAACATATATATTTATACATATATAGGCATGTGTGTGTGTAAACAAACACACACGCCATATGCATTCACTCACTTGTGGAACGTAAACAGACACTGTACATGTTGGGATCCTCTTGGCTCATTAAGTGCACTCCTTACAGAAAGAGTGGTTTGGTCTCTTACTCTCGCTGCTGGGACTTGCTGGCACTCAGAAGCCATCAGGCTGAGAAGTCGAGCACCCCGTGGTGCCAGCAGCACTGGAGGTGCCCTTCCCGAGCAGCCGCCTTCGCCACGCTTGCTCAGATCACTTGAGAGGCTTGAAAGCATGGGTCTTGAACAAAACTAAGCACACAAAACCACAGAGGGGGGCAGGCAGAAACTCTCCTTCAGCCAGGGACGCCCTGCTGCCAAAGCCTTGGCTCTGCCCGGAGCAGTGCTGGGGGAGCACACCTGGGTGGCATCCTGGGCGAGCAGAGCAAAGCAAGGGAGGTCCGGCTGCAGCCACAGCTGGGAACGAGGATGCTCCTGGCACCTCCGTGCTCAGGGCTGGGCAAAACTGCCCCAACAGATGCACAACAGGAACGGGTCAACCAAAGCAGCGACTCCACGGGTGACGCTGTGGTCCCTCCAGCATGTCCTGACCCTGACGCAATCCCACAGCTGGCCTCCCCTCGAGCGATGGGTTTTTAAGTGACAGCCGCAGAACCAGAGCCTCAACACAGGCTGCAGGTGATCTCCCCAGAGCCCTCCCCACCAGGCTCTGGATCCACCAGTCTGGGTGGCAGCAGATGCTGGCTCAGGCTGTCGAGACCTGCAGTTTTCTACAGGTTGCTGCCAGGGGAGGCCATCCCAGACCACTGCACCCAGCCCTATCCCACAGCGGGTTCAGGAGCGAGGAGGAGGCAGCATGGTGCAGCTGCCACCACCAGCAGAGCTGCTCCAGCAGAGCGTTATAGAGCCCGGTAGAGTGTGGATGCTGTTTAACAGCTCCATAAATACAATAGGATCCCACAAATCCTCTCGAAATGGTAATTTTCACCATGTATTAGAAAGCAAACACTATAAAAAAGCCACATGAGACCTTGTCTACACACAAACTGCCTTGGATTTAGGCTTCTTTTTTTTTTAAAGTTCATTTGACTGTTGCCCAATACCTTTCAACTGTGGACCGTCTTACAAATCAGTTTAAAAACAGCTCAAAGGATTTGGATTGCTCTGAAAAGTTTATCAGCACAAGGTGATTGCACATACATACAGCCTGAAAGTAAGAACACACAAATGAAGTTTGGCACCGGCTTAAACAATTGGCTTCAAGGCTATGTCTTTAGCAAACCAAGACCTCATCAGAGCGCAACGCATATCGGAGTTCTTGATAAAGATCGTGAATAAGGAAGAAATAAGCTACAATTGTAGCTACAGTTGTCAAAATGAACCCTCCAAACACAGGAAGGCAGCTTGAGATGCACGCTCCTTCCTTCAGCAGGCCGGGCTGCTCTCCCTCATCTCCAAATCCTGCCTCGGGGGGAGACCACGGAGCAGCGGCAGGAGCAGCCCCGGCGGCACAAGCTCAGACCCCCTCTCACAGCCTGAGATGTTTCAGCAGCACACGCAGGGGCATCAGCTGCTACTCTCGCCCTCGGGGGGAGAAAGGAGGATGCTGGAGACTATGGCAGAAAGCCACGTTAAAATTCTCACTGAGTGTTCACTGCAGCTCTCCCTCGGTGACGTTCTGCCTGCATCACCCTACGGCAAGCACGGCCACGTCTCTGGCCAGGGAAAAAGCTTTGGGCACGCAGGATTTGCCCCCCTGTATGGTTAGCAAACACAAACCCCCAGCTCTGCCACTCGCAATACAGGGGAACAAAGCAGGAACCTTCTGCACGGGTGCACAAAGCAGGAGGGACCCGCCTGAGCTGGGAGGGGTGCTGTCAGCGGGGTCTGCACGGCAGCACACGCAGCGGCTCCGAGTCACCGGCTACGCCGAGACGTGATGCTGAGAGCTGACAAACCTCCGCAGGGCTGAGAGCTGTGGTGTGGCCGCTGACACCCTGCAGCCGAGAGGCAGTGGCTGAGTCGTGGCTGCTGCCCCGAGGCCCAGCGCTGGCCGTGGGTCACCCCACAGCGTGCGGGGTGGCCGCTGCAGGCAGCGAGCGTGCGGGCAGGACCAGATGCTGCCAGCAGCTCCCACGGGCACCGACACCGTCCCTGTGCGTGCACGGCCTCAGCAGCACATTATGCACATCAGGACTAATTAACTTGTTGATTCATTAAAATTCTGAGAAGATGCTCAGTTCGGGCACTTGAGGGACGCTGCCGGGAGCTCTGGCAGCATTTATCCCAGCCTCGCTGCGGGGCTGCCGCACCAGCCGGCACCGCCGTCCCCAGGCAGGGCTGCGGCCACGCTTCCAGCCAGCGCCGTGCTGCACCCGCTGAGGCAGGGCCAGTGCCAGGGGCTTCACCCACACAGTGCAGCACTGGTTTGGTGCACAGCCACCGTGCCCCTACCCCTGGCTGAAGCTGAGAGCGAGTTCTGGTCCCACAAGCGGGAGGCAGTAAGCAGGGGAGCTCTGAACGCACGTGCCGACAGCAGCCCACATGCTACTGCCCCGCAGCAGCTCCCCAAGGTGCGGGGATTGGTGCAAGCACCACGAGTCCCCCCAAAAAGCAGACCTGCAGCCACCCCAGCTGAAGGTTAAATGCTGAACCCCTCGCTGCAGGGACGGACTCGCGGGTCTGTCGCACCTGCAAGTCCTCCGGGCTCACCCCAGCGACACAACAATCCCAGCCTGACCTACATGTTACTTTGGGCAAAGTGCAAATATTTCATGACCCGGGAGGCTGAGCAGCATCACAAAGACGGTGTAAAACTGCAGGATTAGCAAGCCGCAAAACCCAGCAATCCCAAACGTCATCGTCATAGTGGGATATGAGAACCCAGTAGGTCTCTCTTCCCTGCAGAAACAAGCCCTGCACAGAGGCACCGGCTACTTGCACAGGAGGCTCTCGGCAGAGGGTGAGACGGAGCTGCCTGACCCCACGGTGTGCTGTCTGCAGGCAGCTGTATGCACACAGATCCTTAAACTCAAACAGCAGCAACCCTAAGATGCTCTGCAGACCCCAGCCAGGGAAACCAGGGGGGCTTGTGCTTGCAAGAAACACCCATACCTCAAGCCTCTCCTGGGCTACGCTCCCCAAGCAGCACTTGCTGGAAGGAAGCTTCTGGTATAGCTGCCAGCCCTGAAAAAGTTACAACAGCTGACCCTGCACACCGGGCTGGTAGCGTGCGTGCTGCTCCACATCCCATTTTGGGGACGCAGCAGGAACTTTGCACCAGCCCTTTGCACCGGGGTGCGTGACACCCAGTCAAAAATCAAAATCCGCTATCAGGATCATACCCAAGCCGTTACATTTGCCTCAAGAATAAAACACAGTAAGAAAGGACATAGTTTTAAACGGCGTGTAACACCCCAACGATAGCGAAACAAGCAACCGAGGACACGCGGTGCTGGATGCTGCGAAGACTCACCTGTGCTGTTCGACGGTCTCGTTGTCCGGCAGCTCTGCCCCACACACACTGCACTGCTCGCCCACAGCTCTGCTCTCCGTTTTCATGCCAGCTGCCAACTCCCCGAGCTTACTGAACAGCTCCCTCTGAATAAAGCCTTGGGGCAGGAGCCCTCCGTAAGCGCTGAAGTCCATGGACACGGCAAGGGCTGGCTGCATGTGAAGGGCGGATGGCATGGAGGGTGGCATGCCGAGCATAGAGTCAGTTTTGTGGTTTGGTAGCACGGAGTAGACACCCAGGGGTTTTTCGCTCGTGGCCGTGGACTGCTCCGGCCCCAGTGGCAGCCCCTGGCCAGCCTCGGGAGGCTGCTCTGTGCTCTCATCGCGGACATAGTGCAGTTCACGGGCACTCGTGATAACGCTGCTGCGGGTCGGGGTGCCAGGGCCCTCCTTGCTCTTGTCATCAGCCTTCTCCCCACTGGAAGTGCTGGACTCTGCCGTCTGGGGGCTCTCATGGCTGGAGGCATCTTCCACCTGCATCACTTCAGTTTTGACTTCAGCAAGGCCAGGGTGGCGGCCGCTGGTGGCGTGCGAGTCCTCGGGGGCGTTCTGCTGCAAGGCGCCTTGCAGCAGCGACTGCCCGATGGTCATCAGGCTGTCCACCGCCGCCTTGGTGGGGCTCATGGCAGAGAGGCTGAAGGAAGTGGAGACGGATGGGCTTTGCTCCACCATGGTTCCTGGCACGCTCTGACCGGCCATGCTGGCGTAGCCGCTCTCCTCGCTGGAATGCTTGGAGATGAACAGACCCTTGATGTACCTCGATTTCCTGTCCTCCTCTTCCTCGGCACCTCCATCCGTCATGGTGACTTCGGCATCGTTTTCGTCGGATGCCTGGATGGTCTCCAAGATCTTCAGGCACTGCTCTTCTAGATACTCTATTTCTAGAATCTCAGCTGCGTAGAGCAGGTCATCCAAGTCTTCAACCTTTGCCTGGAGGGTAGCAGTGTAAGCATACTCCAATATCTGCTGGAAAGTCTTTGGTGAAAGGAAGTCCAGGGTGTAATGCTGACTGTTGCGGTGGAAGAGGATCTCAAACATTTTACTAGTGCAAGCCAACACTGTCCTGTGAGCATGGAACTCCTGGCTGTCCACCATAATGACCACGTCGCACAGCGTCCCCGCCAGGCGCATCTGGTTGGCTTTGTGCAGCAGCCCCGTGGGGTGGCAGGGGTTCTGGAGCTGTATCATGCCCATCTTAGTCAAATCCATAGCGATCCCGAGGTCCACTCATCAGGGTGCCTTGTCGTCGCTCAAATCTGGGACCAGCTTTGTGTGCCGACTATCTGCGAAAACAAAAGACAGAGGGGGGGGGAGAGGAGAGGAAAAAAAAAAAAAAAAAAAAAAAAAAAGAGGAGGGACGGGGGAGGAGAGAAGGAGAAGGAGGTTAGCCGGAGCTCGGCGGCGAGTCACGATGCACCGAAAAGTTTGTGCGCTCCGCTCGGGGCCGGCGGCACGGACGGGGCCGCCCCGGGATGCCGAGGAGCCGCAACCCCGCCGCTGCTGCCCGGGGAGGAAGGCGACAGCCTCGGGTGCGCATCGCCGGTGCGCGGAGCCGCCGGCAGCAGCCACCGAGGCGCACGGCTCGGCACGGCTCAGCCCGGCTCGGCTCGGCACAGCGGGCAGCGCCGGCCGCCCCGTCCCGCCCGGGGCGCTCCGGTGCCGCGAGTTTCGGCTGCGCAGCTCCGCAGGGCATCAAATATTCATCAGGTGCACGGCAGCAGCCGCCGCGCAGCGCCGCGCCGCGAGTCCTCGGCGGCCGCCACGGGCACGGCACCGGCACCGACCCCCGGCACCGGAGCGCGGCGGGGAGCGGCGGCGGGGAGCGCGGGGCGGGGGTGAGGAGGTGGAAAAGAGGAGGAGGAGGAGGAGGAGGAGAGGGAGGAAGATGCCGGGGGAGCCCCGCGCCCTCCCGCCCGCTGCCCGCACTCACGGCGGCCGGCGGCTGCTCCGGCAGTTCGCACTGCCCGCTCTCATCGCCGCCGCCGCCGCTCGCCGCGCCGCGCAGCAAATCACCGCGGCGCCGGCCCACGGGCCGCCCCGCGCCCACGTCAGGCCGCCCCCACCCCCGACGCCGCCGCCCGCACCATCTTGACTGCTGGCGCCGCCGCCCCCCCGGCCCCGCCCCGGCCCGCCCCGACGGGGGCCCCGCGCATCCTCCGCGGCCCCGCTCGCCGCTCCGCGGGCGCCGCCGCCCGCTCCCTCGGGGCCGCCGGGGCCCGGTCCCAACGCGGGGCCGCTCCGCCCGCGGGGGCCGCCTTGCAACGGGGGCGACCCGGTGCCCGGCGGAGACCCGGGGGGCTCGGGCGAGCCCGGCGCGGGGCCGCGGCTGCTGGACAGCGCTTGGCTCCGCCGGCCCTGCCAACAACAAACATGGAGGAGCCGGCGGCCGCGGGGAGCCAATGAACCGGAGCCGGCGGCGGCGAGCAGCGCCGACCCCCGGGGGCTGCCCCGGCACGCTGCGGCGGAGATGGAGGGGGGGGCACCGGCCGGCCGCCCCGCCGAGCCCAGCCCGGCCCCGGGCGCAGCCGCTCCCGGAGCTGGCGAGCTCGCAGCGCTGCGCTGCGGGCGGGGGCTGCCCGCCCCCCGACGGCCCCGCGGGGCCGCCTCCCCCCCCCGGCCGGGACCCGCACCCACCCGCGGCCGGCCGCCGGGGAATCCCCGCCTCGGGGCAAAGCGCTCGGAACAAAAGCACGCCCGAGGAAACGGCCCCGCGCCCGCCGCGCCCGAAATCTCCTCCGTTAATAAACTGCGCGCTGTGCAAGCCCGGCCCCTCGGCAGCGAGCGCTAAAGGAGATTAATGCCTGGGCTGAATCGGAGAGGTGGGGACGGCAACAAAAAGACGAGCCGGGGGCTCGGCGCCAGCTCTCGGCTGCGCGCACACCGGGCCGGGGCTCGGGGCTCGGTCCGACCCCGCCGCCGCCCGCCCCGAGCGGCCGCTCCCCGTGCCCGAGGCGCGGCACCGCGAGCTGGGCAGCGATTTTCCTCGGCAGGGAAAGAAAAGGGACGAGGAGAGAAAGGGAACGGGGCCGAGAAACGGCAGCAGCCCCGGAACAGCGGCGGGGCACAAGGCTCCGGCAGAGCGCGGCCGCGGAGCGCCCCGCACCGACGGCGGCTCCCGGCGGGGACCCCCCGGCCCGGCCCGCTCCCGAAGCCCCCGCTCCCCCCCGGCAGAGGAGGGAGACCCTCGGCGGGCGGCAAGGCGCAGGGAACGCGGGGCACGGTGTTGTCAGCTAAAATAACAAATAAGGACGGTATTAGCACAAAGATACCCTTGGGGTAAAGCAGCGCAAATGTAATCTAAGGAGAACGTTACAGGGAAGTGTGTTTATAATTATAATGGGATTTAATGTACTTTGGGACCAGATGATAGCAGTCATTTAACAAGAACAGCCTAATAACACAGGCCTTACAATGAAAGGAGATGGTGCTCAGGTTATTAGATACATATTATGATGCAACATTCGCAGTACTAAAGGATAAGGCATCAGCTACCCCGACTTTTTGGGGGCTGTAACTCTGCCCTTTTAATCGGCAGAAAGCTAAAATCGGGAGTGCAGGCAGCCAGCATGAGTACAATATGCTTTTTCTTTTTTAATTGCTTGAGACTACCCACATCCCCCCCCTCCACTTTTAAATCAAAATGACTGAAAGGGGGGGAAATAGCAAGATGATGTGGTTTCAGGTGTTTGTTTACCCTCCTCTAACTTTTAAAAGGCTTGATTTCAGGACTGAAATTTTGCAGTCAGTTAGGGGTATGTTTTTAGTGTAGCTTGCATGAAATTAAGCTGCATGAGTCCCATTAGCAATAATGGAAATCCCACGGCTAAATTCCCAGGCAGCATCCTGAAAATTAACCCCCCAGTCCTTCCAGTGAACTGGTGCATTGCACTTTTTGTTGCTCTTTTAATATATATAGTAAAAACTACTGAGTTGTTTAAGAGACTGGTTTCCTACAGCTCCTTTTATCAAAAAGTGCTGGACTGCCGACCCTCAGAGTGGAAATCCTGCACTTCACCACCACGGAGGTGCACCGTAGGTAGTGGCACACCTCAGTCCCTCTCAGGCTTCACACCGTGCTGCAGCATTTGCTGTGGAGGCTCCCAGAGACCAGAGGGAGATCCGAGCCCCCTGTTGGACCATGGGCTCAAATAACAGAAACACAGATGCCCTCCCGCCTTGGAGGAGCCTGCAGTTCAAGCCACAGTGAATAACCCAACCAACTTCCCAGCAGCCGTATGTATTCTTTTTTTGCCACCTGCACTGCAATAGCACACATCTGGGTACAACACAAGCACTGCAAGAGAGATGAGCCTCTTTCCAAAATGCTTGTATTTGCCAAACATGAGCCTGAAACCAGGAGCTAAGCAGAAGCTTGGCCCCTGTGGGGACTGAGTTTACCATCCCCTCGCAGCTTCATCCCCGATGCCTGGGAAAAGCTCTCTTTGAAACCCATTGTGGTGTTACAGGCATTGTGCTGGTGTCTTTGGAGACCTTCCTGGAAAGTGGATGCTCTGAATTTGAAGGCTGTTTTCTTTTAGAGATGAAAGGCAAAGCATCACGCAAGAGCTAGTTAGACAACTCTCACCAGAACATCTTTCTACAAATCACATTTGTCAGCCAAAACCAAATCAACCCCCTTCACTTGGGGATTTCTTTCCTCACCCACTTCTGTTGCAGAGCCAACTGAATGAAAATAAATGCTGAAAACCCCGAGTCCTCCCCAAACTGCAGTGCAGGTCTCTCTTCCTACCACTTCAGTCAAGGCATGCTGAGTCTGTTGGCACACAGGACGCTACTGAAATGTGACTTGCTCTGTTTGCCTGGGCTGTTTCAGTGATGAGATGAGCCAGGCAGCTGAACTCATACTTGTGCAAGTTGTCCAGCTCCAGTAACAGCTTCAGCCCGTGTGCTATGATCTGTTCACACGGCAAGAGCAGGCTCACGCCCTGCTCCATCACCCCCACACGTATTGTCCAAATGCTTTGCAGCCAGGGTTGTACTTTTCTACTGCCCTTCCACACACACCTGTGTATGTGCACACAAAGCAACTACCTGCACCTTACAGGGCAAGTCCAACACACTTTTATTTGTTCCACAAGCTTTTTGCAATGCAGTGACTCTGAGCATCTTTGAGAATCCCAGCAGAAACAGCTTGTTCCCTCTGAAAGCTCCCACATTAGGGGGATTTATGCTGTTTCCTTCCACACTCTTACAGTTCTCTACACACCTGTGCTCAAAGAGCAGGAAAAGCCCTTGCTAGCAAGGAGACAGAGCCATCATAAAATGCATAAACCCAGAAAAAGCCCCAAAGCCTTGTCCATGACCTTAAACAGCACCAAATTTTCTCACAGCAATGCCCCCACACACTACCTAGAAAAAATACTACAAAAAAAATAAACAAACAAAAAAACATGAAATCCTATACGATCTTCACCAAAACACCTGTGACCCCCCCCTTATATCAAGGGGCTGAATCCAGAAAAGGACAGGACCAATTTGGATGCATTCACAAGTCAAACAGGAGAAGCAGAAGTTACCACTTGCCTGAGTGTCCCAAGCCCTGGAGGACTTGGAAAGAAAGCCCTCTCCGAGGCTGCTGGGGCAGAGCTGCAGCCTCCAGGGAAGCTGCAAGCCCAGCACCCAGCAGCTGTGCAGGGCAGGAACAAGGCAGAGCAGCACCTGCAGCCTCCTCCCACCCCCAGAAACACAGCTCAGAAAGCCCCAGCCTTGGCCTTTGGGGTTGCTTCCAGCCCCCCAGCATGGAAATTAATCACCCGTCACTCCCCCCCTCCATTTCACTCCCATCTCTCCCCATCAGTTTCCAATTTATTTACTTTTCTAAACTTAATCCTCACCTTGTAGTGTAACATGTTTATTAGAAAGGAACCAGCACGTTAAATGAAGCCAAGCTGGGTTCTTGTGTTAAATAGCAGTCACGCCCAAGTGGCTCTCCATGTGCCATTACTCCAAGTGATTGAGGCAATTTCTTCCTCTGCCATGAGTTTAAGTTGTAAATCTCTCAACCAGATACGGAGGCAATGATGTGCTGCCTATTGTGATTATTATTAACCTCTAGCATTAAACTCATGAGACTTCCATGATTTCTGTGGAAGGTCCTCACATGAATGGACCATGCAGAATAGCTACATCCTCCCCAGGAAACCTAGGAGCCATGTCAGAGCAACTTTTAGTCTCAAACCACTCATTTATTTTGGATGGAGAGACACAAACATTCACTTTACCGACAAGAATAGCTTAGTGAGGGCTCCTGCTTCTCCACCCTGCTGGGCCCTAACGCCCTTTAACACAACTTAACTGAACTTCTGCCGCTCTGCTCAGCTTTGGGTGCCCCCACTCTGCCTCACCTCTCCCGTGTCCTTGGAGAACTGGCCCGTGCACGCCTGAGTCACATGCAGGGTGAGGAGGCAGTGACTTTCCTAACCTGGAACCAGTCTATTTTCCTCTGGGTAGTTTTGTTTCCCTTATCTTTTGGTGTGTTTGGAGGGTTTTCCAGTCTCACAGTTGTGGAGCTGAGTTATGAAACACTGGAGCAAGGATTTGAAGCATTGCTCAGCATTTTGGGGGCAGGGTGGCGTGTGTGTGTGTGTGGAATTTGCAAAATAGGAGCTGTTTTAATGTAAATAAAATCCATGACTTTTGCTGTCACTTAAAAAGTGATTTTGGTATTACTCCAGACTTCGAGGGAAGCTTACAGCATCCAAGCTCTTGCATGCACACACGAGACCAGTGTCTGCTGGAGTGCTGCAAGAATTTTGTCAGGCACATTAGCTTTGCTCTGAGATGGGGTATAGTGTGCTGCTCTACTTTTGCATATGAGACGAGCTGACAGCTTATGAAAAGATGATTAAATGTGTTAGACTATTTTAAAAAAAATACACAAAGCTGTTTGTGAGGAGGAGGGAAGAAAACTGCCGAGGGCCCCTGGAAGGCTGCTCAGCGTGCAGCCACGGCACGTTAAGCTTCCTGTGAAATCCATTGATTAGCACAAGTATCCATCTGAGCTGTTCAGATATCGGACCCGAGTGCATTGTGGCTGCATGGGGGAGTGGAGGAATCGTGAACAGTCCCTTTATTGTGCCACCGCTCGCAGCACAAAGGGAACCTGAGAGTCACTGAGAGGATGCAGCTGGTTTGGGGGCTCTGGCGTGGTGCGAGGGGACGCAGCCCTGCCGGCTGCTGCAGGCCGAAGGGCTTCGCGCTTTGGGGGAGTTATCTGCGGTACGATCAACGTCAAAATAAATTGGTGCGGGAGCACAACTGTAACCAAACCTAACAGATTTGTAGGAGCTCTCCTATTGTTCCAGGAAAAGGGAATATTTAAGGTCTGGTAACTCACACTGAGCTAAAGAGAGGAGCATGAGCTGTCATGGGGCCAGCACACAGCTACGGCACAGAAACCCTACTCCATCCTTCTCTTGCCTTTGTCCTTAAACTGGCCGCTACTGAGCTCCATGAGAGATATAACTGGGCAAACACTTATGTGAAAAATGCACAGCGGCAAATATAAGGATAACTGCGTCACCTACTCTGCGGCCGCAGTACCCCAGTGTGTAACTTTACACACCCGAGCAGCTCCGCAGGACTGAACGGGGCTGTTGCACACTTGCATCTGTGCGTGACCGGAGGCTCCAGGAGTTACTGGGGCTCCCAGCCTGACCAGTGCTCATTTCCTTCTCTTCTTTCAAGCTGGGCTCCTTTAAGGAGCATCACAGTGAGCAACAAGCAGGGGATAGTAAAACCCTTATGGCTCAGGCTCGCCGTGACATTTCTGTTCGTAAACACCTTTCTGAGTCAGAACTGAAGTCATCCGAACACCGCGGCTCCTATCACCACGCTTGTGCTGCTGAGGGGTGCTGCGAGGGACAGGATCGATGCCGTTAGAGCAAGGGAGCGGGTTAGGTTCCCATCTGGATTTTTGCAGGACGGCTTTTGAGATACAAAATACCAGCGAAAGGAAAAGCAGCTGCCATTTGCCCCTTGTAGGCTTTTGCATTTACACAAGCGTTTCCTCAGCTCGCAGATTTCCATTGCGTCCCTCTATTCCTCCCCCTTTGTCCAGGTTATATATACTGTGAAGCCTGTAAGACAATAGGGCTAATTAGTGGCTTATGGCCCTAAGCCTGCAAATACTGTGAGGATCATTGTGAGTTGTGACTCAGGACGGTGGCAGTCCAGGCCAGCCTTCCCACATTCCTCCACTAAATCCCCGACACAAAAGGGAATTTATCCACAGTGACTCAGCTAAGGAGCACAAACTTTATAGCGCTGCAAAACAGGCAGCCGGGCTTTGAACTGTTGTGTTTATGTATTCCCCCCATCAACGCACAGCCTAGTTAGTAATTAAATAAAATGTCTCCCTCTAGCAGGCTATGACCTAATCATTTGTACAGTACCTATTTTTAGCATTACCCTTTCTATGTATTCGAGATAGCTCAGGCCAGAAGCAGCAACTTTTGAAGTCTTAATAAGTGGGGGGTGGGAGGGTGGCGTCTTTGTTTAATTTACTGTGTAATTATTTTTCCTCTTCTCCCCTTCTCTTAACCTAAAATATTTGACATCTTGCATGGGACAAGAAGGAAGATGTGCCAGGGCCTTAAATGTCAGCCCTAACTGTATGGTGCTGAGGAGACCGTACGCCTGCTTGGTAAAGTTCATCCTGGAAAAAAACACTTAAATACGGCAGAATCGACACTAGAGCCTCACCAAAGCACTTCTGGGTTGGCTTGCTCTGGCCTCAGAAATATTTGATGGTCTAACAAAATGCGTTTCCAACTTTTCCTCCATCTCCCTAACCTCACTGTGACTTTTGTTCCTTCTCAGAATTAATTCAGTACCAGGGAAGAGTAGTTCCTCTGCAGAAAGATGTTGTCAGTGCTGGCATAGAATCACCCCTTCGGGCAGGAGCCCCCAGCCCCTTAAGGGGACGCTCATTCTCCGTAAGGATTGTGAGCAGGCTTAGCTACTAACAAGGATTGCAGGCTGGTTACATATCTATTGCACACTTTCCTGAGCACAAGATTAACATACTATTAACATTACTTAAACCACTCACTGCATTTAAACAGTGCAATTTTCAAGAGCCTCCAGCTTAGGAGTTTAGATCCCACTTTCTAAACTCACTGAAATATAAATAGCATTGGCCATCCTATGGAAAGCAGTGAGTGCACGACATTGGGATACTTTAAGGTTATTTGCTCGGTTTCATGCTGTAGGGAACAAGCCAATTACCAACTCCCAGTCTCCGAGTGAACACCTTTACCCCTAATTTCATCTTTCCTCTCTAGCAAGGGCAGAGCTCCATATCCCATTTCCAGCTGCATGAGTCATCTGTTCCCCTTTCCAAAGAGATATGTGCCTGTGTGCGCACGCCAGCGTGTGCACAGAGAATGCATTACCGTTTTTGACAGTGCAAACAAAAGCCCACACTTGTGGGAGCCTTTCTTCCCCCCTTCCTTTTCTTACCATATCTGTGCGCTAAAGATTCACACAAAATGCCTACACAGCTGGGGAAACTTCTGTCAAAGGGGCTCCTCCTTGTTTTCTTTCTTGTATCAGGAGAAATCGAGTGGCTGAATCACACACACACACAGATCTTGTTTCCAAAACGCTTCTGAAATGTTTCTAAGACATCCTAGCTGCATAATGAAGGTATTTTAATCTCAAATGAAATTCCTGTTCATTTATTCAGTCGCTCCTAATACCCCTCCATAAACTATACAACTCCAGGTCTTATAAGTAAGGCAGAATAGAGTCTGAAGCCAAATGTTACAGTCTAGGTTCAAGGTTAGATATTAACTGATTTTATTTTCTTAATAATTGCCAGGAGATGCAATAAACCCTTGGTATCTTATCTAGCCAGAAATTCCTAAGTGACCGAAGCCTCAGATAACATTAGTATATCAAGACAGTTTGCAAATGACCCTTTTTAAGAGATATTTATGGATCCCCTGTGAAGGCTAGGAGAAGCATGCACGTTCCCAGTCAGTCACAACGCACTTGTCCCGCAGCCAAGCGTCGAGCCGCGTGCTTTGGAGCCAGGCTGAAGGTGCTGCAGCGCCCTTGGACATCGCAGCATTCACGCTGGGAGGAAGGCTGGCATGGCCCATGCTCCACCAAAACACATTCCCTGCTGGAACGGCTTGATCAGCCTCCGAAGAATGAAAGTAAACAGTGTTGCAAAGCTCCTCCTGGATAAGAGCTATCTTCTGGGGCCAGAGGTTCAAAAGCTTTTCTGCAAGCAGCAAAGGATGCAGATAGGTCAGGATAGAAAGGCATGCGACACAGGCAGCTGATGCTGCTGTCACCAGGGCTGTGAGCACCCCAGACTCCCCTAAAAGCACAAAGGATCTCTTAAAGTCCAGCCTGTTGCTTCTTACCAGCAAAGCCTCTCCACCACCACTTCTGGTGCATCAGATACTTCCTGTGTAATATGGAAGACGCCAACTCCACCACAAATCAACCAGAATATCCTTTGTCTTCCAACCGAAGAAAGTTCATTGTCAGGGTTTGCATTGCCAGTCTCACTACAGAAATAAATGCTGCTGGGTCCTTGCTGTGCAGAGGGATTGACTGGGCAGGCAGGGAACACCTCCTGATTTCCCCAGGTACCAGCTGGGACACGGGAAGGTGGGGTGGCCCCTCGCTGGGGTCCAGCCCCAGGGACCTTTAAAGGGACACATTATTGAAACATCTCCTTTAAGGTATTTCAGGCAGTGGAGAATAATCCCAGCTTTCATGAAAACAGTAATCACTTCAAAGATGGGTGAAATGGAATAAGGAAATTTGAAAAGCCTAAAACCAGATAGCTCACCATGAGTAAATCTGTGCCTGAAAGCATTTCTCAGCACTAACATCACTTTTTTTCCTTAGTTTTCTCTGCCTTCAGAGGGCAATATTACCACCCTACTAAGCCTCCCACGAGGTCTGCAGGACTTGCACCCTTCGCAAACTGGCCAAGCACATTTTTTCCACCCCAGTAAGAACCTTACTCATGATGAATGTTTCCAAATTGCACGTGGATCACGAGCAGGGCGTGCAGAGCATGCTCGGAGGCTCTCTGCTCCCAGGCTGCTGTGGTTACTGGTGTGGTTAACCCAAGCTAAAGCCAGCAGGGGCTGGCCAGAGCTTGGCTGTAAGGCACCAGTACGGTGGGGACAAGAGGTGCTCAGTAGCAGCAGGGTGTGCAGCCTCTGAAAAGGGGCACTGAGGGTGATATAAAGGGAATTCTCAAATGGCCAGCTGACAGAGACTCAGGGTGCAGAGAGCTTAACCCTGGATGCGGATCAGATGTCAGAGGCAAAGGAATAGCTCAAAGCTTTGGAAACTGGATACAGAAAAGGAAGTTTCACCCTCTCTCCCCATCCAGCTCATCCGTTAACACTACACAGTGGAGTCCTGATCCTCTGCTGTGCAGAGACAGGAATTATTGAGACAAGGGGTGCAGAAGGTGGAGCTGCTGCATCAGAGGTTCCTATATCTCATGGAGGTGAATGGAAGACTCAAAGCACCCCTGCAAAGATGTCCAAGCTTGCTGCACTTCATTTTTTTTCCCCCCACGGGGCTTTCAATCTTACAGTGTTGAAAATCCTAACAGTAAAAGAAAAGCTGCTCAGAGGGTGGATTACCAAACCTCATCTTCAGATCCATGTCCTGATGTAAAAGAACTTATCTATTGACAGAGCTGCTCAGTGGAAAAGGAAAAAAAGGATAAAATACCTTAACCTTGAGCCCCATCACTGCCACCACACACATTTGTCTGTCCCACCCTGACATCCCCTGCTCACTAATGCAGTTTTTCAGGTCAGGAACATCTGACTCCTTTCTCTTACATGCCGTAAGTACTCTGGACCCCAAGTGCCCATGGTGCTCAGCTCCAGGACCCTGTCTTTGGTCACTCATCCTCTGGCCAAGCACTTTGATCCAGGACCTGGCTTCACACTGCACTGCATGCCACAGGCTGCAGTAAAACATGCAGAACTGCTGGGCCCCCTAAAAAATGGCCTTAATTCAGGCATGAAGAGGCGCTACATTAACCATCAGGTGAAATGCTTCACCAGCACCGCACAAGAGTTCAGACAAGGTGATCACAAATAGTCCTTTCTTGCTTTAAAGCCTGTAAATGTTACAGTAATGCTGCTCATCATTGCATCCCTTCCAGAGCTTCCTCTCAGCTCAGCCATGGACAGAGCTCCCATCCTGAGATGCACACAGGCATCTGATCTTCTCTGAAGACCACCAAACAACAAGGCTGAGATCTTACTCTTCCCAGGGTTAGAACACACACCTAGCTTCATATTCCACTATTGACTTGCTCTTTTCTGCTGGCATAAGTTCACCCCTTACAGGTCATCTTGCAGTGTAAAAAAATCAGTCTTATGTGAACATGCCAGCATCCGAAGTGCCTTGATGCAGTGCCCAGAACTGTTTTTGCAGGGATGAAGCTTGGATTGTAATAAATGCCAAATCTCAGTAATCAATCCCAGCCCCCCAAAATTACAGAAACCACTTAGAGGTGTTTATTTCCAAAAAGCTAACACCATTGAAAAATCCCCACCAAGACACTTAAGAAGCTAGTGCCATCAAGAAACAAGGCATGTCAGATTAAGCACATTTAAATCAAGCTGTAATAAATTATGCTCTTCTTCCAGGTCCCTGGCTGTGTATAAGCCAAGAGATCACCCACATCATCTCCAAAATATTGAAAGCTACAGGACAAGAAGGGGGTGAACAACAAGGGAACAACAGATTGCAAAATCAGACTCTTCCATGATAACCTCTCCTCCTTCCCCAACACTTCAGCTTTTGCCTAGAACTGACAAGTTACCCTCATCCAAATGAGGAAAAGCTGCCACAGATCTCCAGAAGAAACAGAAGACGGAGGCAGGCCTTTGCCAAGAAGCACCAAACTCCATGGTACATCTAGCCATCACCCAGCCTGAGGCAGCCAGGGACTGCGTGGGTCCTCTTCCATCGTTTCTCCCCAAAACACTCATGCTCAGAAGGGTAAGAGAAGTGGGGGAAGGAAAGGGGATGAGTGAGAGCACTGCCTACTGCAAATATTGACATAACCATTATGGGCATGTATAAAACTCCCATTTGTGTTATGTGAGCGTTATATTCTTTGAATACTTCTGTCTCGAGGAATTCTTTATTTTGCTATAGAAGAAAAATGTTTTCATATTCTCTCCTGCCGTTCAGACCTGCAACCCAGTGAGCCCTTTTGCCCTTGAGAGCCATAACATTATTTGTTAACATTTTTATGATGCCAAATGGTCTGTGCTAGAACGGGTGCCATTCTTTAGCTGGGAAACCATATGGCATGCCGAGTAATAAATAAGGTATTGTGATAGTTAATGAACCTAATTGCTAGCAAAGGCTTTAATACAGAGAATGTGCTGCTGAGAATTTAGCACCACATTAGAGATGCAGCAGAGCTCCTCTGACTTCTGAGGCTTAATTTAAGTTCTATATTGCAAACTCCAGAAAATAATTCCAAACCCTCCTGCTGGAAAAGCAACCTGCTGGTAGACTGTGATTATACTGAATTACTAAAATCGCAATCAATTTTATACACTCAGTTAACCCTTGCTAGGGAACTCTCCTCTCGATTTGATAGGAAGCCACTTAAAGATGTATTGGAGCCAAATGACTGTAAGCATTATGGTCATCATCATAACCATTTCTCTCCCTGGCATCTCCCTCTTTGGGACCAACCCCTTTTAAAGCCTCTCCACGTTCCAGCCGAGCTGACTGCAGGCAAAGCAGGGAGTAGCAGCTCTGATTATGAGCGGTCACTGCTGTATGACGCCATGACCAACTTATTACCAGCTGCCATCAAATCACGGCAACCAGACGTGGCACAAAGCACAGACGTTGCATCTGCCTCGCAGCTTACAGGCTCCTGTGAGATGCTCAAAAACTTTGCAAGAGCAGCACAAACTTGCAGAGGCAGTTTTCCTTTTTCTGGTTTCTTCAGCCCTGGAGAAGGGAAGAGCTCTTCTGTGTGAAAAGAACTCAGGAATAGCTGCAGATCACATTTTGACATGAGACCTTTCAGCCCATAAAACCTTTAGATGACTGCCACACCTGCAGAGGAGAATTTGCTCTTGCCAAAATGCTGCCCCATGGCTACATGTATAGTCACTATTGCTGCTGTCTCGCATGGGTGCTTTGTAAAGAAGCCATCTGAGGTCCAGGACACATCCAGGACACCAAATATCCTCTGGTAAACTGGTGTAAAGTACACCAAACCCCACACTGAGATATAATGGCTTATGAAAAGCTGTTTTGGAAGAGCTGCAGTCCTCCTGTTGGGGACAGGCACCCACTCACACATGGGGGATGGATGTCGCACATTTAGGGCAACACACAGCATTTGCTGCAGGGCTCTGCTGCGTGCTGCCTGCCCTTCCTGCTTCAGTGTTGCACACCCCAGCAAAACAACACTAGTGCTCACTAGCAAACAGGCAGAGAAGGTAAATCAGTTCTGCACTGACGCCAGACACAGCACTGAAGTACTGCTAGTGCTCGCTGAGTGGAACCACCGAGCACAAAGCAATCTCAGAGGTAACGGGAGGTTTCCCATTGGGGCTGCCTTGCTCCATCCCTCTGCACCAGCCTCACTGCTCCCCCAGACCCTTTCAGGCACCTGCCCTGCCTCACAAGTGACACGGATTCAGCGTGTGCTGATTGCACAGGGCATTACAGCAGAGGCAGAAGGTGGCTGGGGCCAGTGCCCGACAGTAGCATCAAATGAGGAAAGTGCCAAGATAAAGAGTCGCATAGTGTGGATTTAATACTGTACATAAATACACTTTACAATCTCAGGAAAGCTCTGTGCTAAGAGGAAACCATTGGAATATTTTATAGTGATGCAGATCGAGTGAAAAGACTGTGAATAAATAAAAGGGAAGATAATTATTTGATGGAGTTCTCTTAGGATATGCCACAGCGGGGAATACTTACCGAGAATACATATTACTGGAGAGACACAGCTATTCAAGCATCAAACTAACCTATAAATTGTCACAGGAGAAAATTGGAGGAGAGGAATGGATGGGGTTTTGGGCACTGCTCTCATTATTAACGTCGGGTTTCGCTTTCTACCTTCCTCATCGCAATTCCCTGTGCCCAAGGAGTCACAGGCCCTGAAAAAGGGAAGACTGCATCTAATAACTGTCTTTTAGAAATTACGGCCAAACCACTACAGTAAAAAGATGGCATCATTTATCTCTCTGCCATCTGCACGGGATCATCTGGCCAGTAGCAGCAGCCTGCTCCCAGGGCGTTTCGAGCCCACTTGCACAGGGGCAGGTGAGAGGGGCTGGCACGAGGACCCCTGTGCGCACAGGCAGCACATCCACCCTGCTCCCACCTGCACCAGGCACTCCTGCACTGGCTCTCACCTCCTGGCTGGAAGCTGGGAGTACCCTGCCCACAGGACCATTCCCCTCCCTGGTGCTTCGAGGGGATGCCCACTGCTGCGACACGGACATCACAGGAGGATAAGCACACAAAGCGCCTT